ATTTACAAGCTCAGTGGGTCCAAGGAAGACACATCCACTTTGATGGACTACGACAAGGATTGTGGCGAGCAGTTTCTGGCAACGACAGACATGATCCTGCAGAAGGCATGTGGTTCGGACGAGGCCTTTCTGGCTCGGGTTCGCAAAAAGATCATGGTGCTGACAGGCGACGGTTGCCCAGCCCTCCAAAAGGCGTTCAAGATGCACGTGCACACCATCCTCCCAAGTGTTGCCTTAATCATCAGAGATGCCTGCCATGCGATTCGCATTGCAACGAGGGAACCTGTCTGTCGCTCACCTTTTGATTAGTAAAATCTTTCACCGTGCCACGCCATGACTGTTACCCTTTGATCGCTATTACCAACTTAGATCGGCAAGATGTGTTCAGTGAGTACATCTCAGAGATCTTTGGTGGCATTGTGCCGAGCATCAAGAACAGCTTGGCTTGGCAGAGAGAGCTGCAGGCAGCACAGCGGCACGTTCTGGCTGCGGAAGGCGAGCGTGCCCTGTCCTGCGTGTTCTCTCACCTGAACTATGCACCCCAGAGGTGCCTGAGTAGCAAGTTGGAGGACATTGAGCAGCGCTATGAGCCAGCACGTGTTTAGTCATGATTGATGATGTGTGTCCTACTCAGGTACGAGTCGGAAGCAGAGCCACACCGGCTGTTTGTCGCCTTGTTACCTGCCATAGCTCTCCTTCTGGCCTACAAGGCTTCAGATGTCCGACAAGAAAGCAAAGTGCGGGCGCAGGCTGCCCGCCTCCTGGAGTCCCTAGGACCGCGCATGGCCATTGCTGCTGGTTTGGCAGCCGACTGGGGCTCTGAGGTCCGCACGCTCATAGGTACCTTTGACAAAGAGCGGCATGACCCAGCGAAGACCTGGGATGAGATTCGTCGGTTCCAGTCGCGTGGCCGCTGCCCCGCTGCATATTGGCCACATGTAGCATGAAAATCCAAAGAGTCCTGTGGAAGTCACTTAGCGGCTGCGGTCTTGAGGTGTCTTGTTCGGTGAGTCGCACATCATCGGCGAGAGCGGAACTGCGAACAAGACCATGGTCCAAGTCGCATCTGAGAATTTGATGGCAATGCCGCCGCTTCGATATGGCAATGCCCCTCAAATTAGGGAAAAGCACTTCTGGCCGTCGAATGCCAAGAAGGAAGCAGTCGAAGTCCTGGAGTCAATGAGCTTATGCTGGCAACTGACGAACAAGCGGCTGGAAGCAGAGTTTGACCCACAGTCGGTGCCCGCGCCTCAGCATCCACTGCAGCGCAGGAAGAAAGCGGAAGTTTAGGCTGTGCTGGACAAGTGTTGAAGTGTTAAGGTTGCTGTCTTTCCGGTGCTTTGACTTGCCATCGTGGCTGAAGACACTTGGGCAAGATGAGTCGAGCACGCACCTGCAGTCGTCACTGCGGAAATGCGCGATCCGTGTCTGCAAAGCTGTGGAAAGGTCGCAGTCGAGAGGCATGGACGCTTGCCCTGAAATTACAGTTGCGCTGTTGTCCAAGTTGTGTTCTGAGCGGCATCTGCATGTCTCAATTTCAGATCTGAGGACGTGTCTCAAGTCGCAGAGCGCTTGGAGCACGCTGCCATCTTTCTTGCCGACAAGAACAGGCAAGCCATCGAGGACCAGGGCGCTGATTTCAGCAATCTGGAGGCTTGGGCCCACTTGCCAGAGCACACGGACCAGATTGGCTTGCAGGCATCTGGCCACGTGGTTGCAGTCGCTACGTGGTACTTAGCTGTTTTGGATGGGACAGGGGCAGTTGAGCGGGATTTTGGCAGCGTGAAGCAGATCCTCGATGCTCATTCCGGGCCATTGGAAAACCCCGAAAGTCTGGCCTTGTTGGCGTTCCACCTGCCTGACGATGAGACGGCTATCGCGCAGGCAAGCAGCCATGACTCCCAACCATACCTTCAAAGTTGTGATTAGGTGATATTCAAGTAATAGCATTAAATACAATTTTCAAGAGCAATTGAATGCCGTGCTGGAACTAAGGAGGGCGATATTTCATGTGGGCTGACTGCCTTGAGTCGAGAATGGCAGGAACAGTGGCTGGAGACACACGGTCGGCGTTTCTGCCTTTACAAGAAACGCAAAGATGCCGGGGTTCAGAGAACGTGGCAAAAGCCAGGAACCAAGGTTGCCCTGCAACGTGGTCGAAAAAAAGCAACTGCTGAGCTTTTAACCCGTGCTGAGTCGCAGAAGGGTGATGCCCCGTCGATACTGGGCAACACTACAGTCGGCGAGTTGAGACGGGCCATGAAGGACGGGTGGGCTGAGATGGAGTGGAACAAAAAATTGAAAAAGTTCCATGACATCACGAAGAGAAAAACTGCTGCAAATGTGGTGGAGAAGCAAAGGCGCTCTGAGAGATTGCAGCCCTATGGTGAGCAGAAGAAGGCTCCAGGGCATGCTATTGCCCCGAGGCCAGGGTTGCAGCCGGCAACTTTCAGTTGCAGCAGATTCGCTCGAATCTTGAATGCCTGCCCAGAAGCACTGGCCTTGCCGAATGCTCAGGTGCAAAGCTGTTCCTCGTGCAGCTCCATGGCCATCTTGAGAATGCTGGCAAGTGCAGGCCAGAGTTGCGTCATCGTTCCCAAGCAGCTCAATTTCTCGTCGAAGCAAGCCACAGACATGGACTGCAAGCTGGCTTTGGGAGTGGTAGGCCTGGGCGCAACAGTGGTGACGAAGGATTCTCTTCCAAGAGGAGCCGGAAGCAAGAGTTACATTGCTGCCAGCCAGCAAGGTCCTGCGAAAGTGGTTACTCTTGCAAGTCGTTTCATCGTCAAGCACCCGTCGTATACCCAGCAGTTGAAGTATGTTTCTGGACTGGAGAAGTCGAAGTGGACTGTGCTTGAAGAGTCGGATGCAGACAGAAGACAAGCTCAGTCGCGAAAAAAATTCAACTGGAGCTCACAGTCGATACGGCTGGAAGACTTCGGCGATTTCATGAATTTCCTAAGCGCATCCATCCTGATAACCCACTGTGAAACAGGGGTGTCATGTCAACTTTTGGGGAATGAGTGAGAGCCTCAAGCCGACTGTTCGGGTTATGTGTTAGTAGCAGTCGTGTGGTTCTTGCTTTGCAGACTTGGCAACGTCCATGCCCACATGTGCAACTATGGCTTGAAACATGCTGCGAAGGCAAGTCTGTGGGGAACCTGTGCAAAACCGCTCCCAGGTGTTTTGCTGACATCTCTGACTGAGAAGATGTAGGGGAAAAAGGCAATTATTTCCCTGCAATGCACTCGACGCCGTCGAACTTGCACATATCTGCTGATGCCTGCGGACTTGACTGTGGTCAAATCAGATCACTTGCAATTGCTTTGCCCAGGCCTTCGTCCTCGTCGCGGGTGGGTGGCCGGCAACTCGAAAGACATGCTGCTCAATTGTTGAATGGCTTCTTGTTGTAACCATTTGAGAAGAATTCTGATGTTTCTGGATACCGGCTTCCACTGTGTCAGATGTGCAGAGACAGCAGCTTGCATAATAGCCAGTCATGAAGAGACAACAGTGTCTAGGCGGCGCAAAGGGTTTCTGCAGACTTTGCGCTAAACTCCCCACCTTGCAGAGACTATGACGAGGCCCTGCGTTGCAGCACGGATGGACGGATGAAGGCCTCCAGAGTGCAGGGTCACTCCCAGAGATTTTGCCTGCAGCTCTAGTAATTCAGGTCTTACTGCTTAGCTATGCAATTTCAGGCATTTCGAATAGCAATGTGACCAGCTACAGCAAGGGCAGAATGGGTGACAAGCACCAGTGTGTAAAAGTGTTGGATCCCCAGCATTGAGTGAGGTTTAGTGCCTTTGCCTGGGCAAGGGCATTATGTGGTCTGCAAATTTGCGTGTGCGTGTGCATTTGCGTATGTGTGTGTGCTCTGTGTGTGTCTCCGCATGCATATATGCGTCTGTGGGTGTGTCTGTGTCTAGGTGTGCATGTCCTGCCGGCGTGTGAGTGTGTGGGTCTGCAGGTGTGTGTTCCTGTGTTAATAGGAAGCTGATACTAGCAGTTTCAATTGCAGGCTTGCGAGCACATGTAGCCAACTAGGTGGTGGACCAGTGACTGTGGCAATCCAGTATTGCAGCTTCTTGAAATCATTATGTTGAGGTGTCATGAATTCCCTGGCTGGCAGGAAGTCGGGCCCAAACCTGGGACAATTGATCATTCAAGTTGTATTCCAGATTCATTGGCCTCAAGTAAGTAATAAAGTAACATATGAGTCGCAATGAAGTTGAAGGAAGAAGCAAGATCCGTCTACTTCTGCAGTCACCCGTGCTTGCGTGTGCACTCATGGCCGCTACCACGGACGCCGAAGTCGACAAAGTGGTGGAGGCCAGGACAGCGATGATGGTGCAGTTACGCTGCACTTCTTCTGGTGTGTGCATGTGTGTGTGTGTCTTTATGTATGTGTTTCTGTTGCCTGGCAGTCCATCCTTGCAGACGACGCGCTCTGTGAGCTGGTGAAAGAGCAGGGCCGCGTCCGATTCTTGCGGAAGCCTGCCAACCCGGCGACAGATGAGGCATTGGCTGCAAATTACGAGGTGCTGAAGCACTTTATAGCAGCGAATGCCCGGTGCAACTACGAGCTGGCTCGGGTGGACACCATCCGCGACGTTTTTTTTAACGTGAAGACGCGCCTCCAAGAAACTCGGTGGCGCTGGACATGCCATGTAAAACTAACGCAATGCAACGTTCAGCTCTGCACGCAATTGGGCCTAGGTTGATCACAAGCCTTCGTGGGAGAAGCAGGAGTCGAAGTGGGTGAAGACGCTCCTGAACTATCACCGTCGTGTCTCATCAGAACATAGAAGTTGGTGTGTTTTCAGGTATTGCATGCTCTACTGGCTGCCCTTTGTAGGTTTGGCACAACGAAGTGCGCGTCATGTTCTTCCTGAAGTCGATGACCTTACTGTGCCTGGGATTCACATCATATGCATGATCAGTTCCCTGGAATCCTGCCGAATTTGGTTTGCCTACCTGCAGGCATTGCTGCGTGAAGTGAAGCCGGACGCTGTCAAGAAGCGCAGAGTCGAGGATCCCGACGCTCAGGCGCGACAGCCCCATCCTTAATTTTCTCCACGCTTTTCTGCCTCTAATCTTCGATTCCTTCCCATCCTTTGAATTGATAGTCTGACTGTTAAAAAGGTCCAAGCGAGCGCGCGATGCTTTTGGAGAGGAGCTTGGCGAGCAGTTCTTGAAGGAGTGCCTCGTCTGTAGGCCAGTTTGTCAGCTGCAGAAATTTGAGTGAGCTAAGAAACCTCGTGCTAAGGCTGCGCCAAAACAATGTGAAGTACCGCTTTGAGATTCACTACAATTCGACCCCGCTTCGCATTGTTGTTCGCCGGCGAGTCAGTGGAAAGGCCGTCTGGACAGGGTGCCATGAGAATGGCCAAATACTTGGCGCTGTTGCCACTCACGTCGTCACATGGCAGACAAGACACAACCTGCAAAGTGAAACAGACCCATCCATTGGTTCGCTTTGCAGCCTTGCAGCCAAGGCAAAGTGGTATGAAGAGGATCCCCATATCCTGAAGCCAGAAGTGCGTCGCCGAGCCGAAGATCTCTTTGCCCGAATGGAGGCGGAATGGAAAGAGCATCATGAACAGCAGCCACCAGCGCTGATAAACGGCCCAGAGGAGCCATGAGGCTGCTGTGGACAGAAGGGCAGGTCAGAGTATCCAGCTGTCTCAAGCTGTCACATTATTGTTCCATTGCCCTTTTGTCTCAAATTTCAGCCACTGGTGCTTAGGGTTCCTCAGTGGCAGTTGGAGTCGACACAGCTGCGAATAGTAGAGTCGACACATGGCTTTAGTAGAGTCGACACATGGCTTGAACTACCTTTCACAATCTGATTCATTTTACAGCGATAATTGGCATGCTTCTATAGTCGCGCCTGATGATTCTTG